TGCGCCATGTGCCCGGGGCCAGGCCAGCCCCGAGCACCTGGCGGGCAATGAAATGCCCCCGCGGGCGCCATGGCGCCCGCGGGCACCGTGTTAGGGACCACGGGCCTAGAGGATTTAACCACTCAAATGCTATTGAAATTCAATGGGAGGTGGGTGCAAAACTCAATTAGATTCCTTTGAAAATCTCTCCTTAAATTGTCCTGCCGATTAACATACAACAGATGTGACAGTCTTTGCCACCATAAAAAAAGTATTGAAAAGAATATAATGTTAAGGGTTTTCCCAATATTTCAGTTTGGGAAAGACTGCTTTATTTCTAAGGCTAACCATGGACAAAGACAGACTGAACCCAAATAAAGTTGGAGTAATCATTCATGCAGGGGAATTTATATATAAATAAGCTTTAGACTTAAAATTTCATTATAAATTAATTTTAATCATTGATCACTGACAGATCTGTAACTTCTCTGAGACCGCTTACCTTTCAGCTTGACTTTTAAAACAAATCTAATCATGTTCATAATATTTAAAATATTAGGGATCCAATCTTATGTTAATTTCAACACCCACATAAATATTAAAAATATGAACATATTTAATGCAAGAGTGCAAAATAGATTTGTACCTAAGCTATAATAATGTTTTTAAAGTATCCTTATCCTATTGGCAGAAATAAGTAAAATATTTCATAGGTTTCATTAGCTGCTGAACAAATTATATAATTTGCAGGCTGGAACAGTACAAGTGGATATGCACATCAAAAGTGTTGCAAAAAATGGTTGCTTCATGTGCAGCCTCTAAACATTGTAAAATGGGATGTGGGTAAGCAAGTGAGGTGGTTGGAGGTAGAGATAAGAGTGGATGAGAACAAGCTTGCTTTCTTCTGAAATGCCAGGTATTCTTACTGACAGTGGCAGCATACCAAATTTGATGATCAATTCATATAATCCAGCACAGCAGATCATGTTCTCTTAAAAAAATAATTTGTACAAAGAAAAAATTGCATCCAGGTCTACTGAAAGTTCTGGTCTTTAAACTTGTAAATGTAAGAGTTATTTTATTTCATTTATTTCCAGTTAATTCGCTGATGAATCATGTTACAGCAAATGTTTACAGTTGAATTTCCCCGTGAGAGAAAAACTGAATTTATGGTGAATATAAATACCAGCATTAGATATATTTGTGTAAGACAGCTGAGTTTTATTAGACCAACAAACATAACAGTAATAGGTTTTTACTGACAGGACAAAAAGAGGCTTGTTTACCATGTAATTACTGTTGATATTTTTTTAAATGAACTTTTGATTTTTCCCATTTCTCATATTGTCTCTGAAATCTACTTGCTCTTTCAGGGTATGTCTACACAACAGCGTTATTTCAGAATAACGGATATTATTTTGAAATAACAAAGAGCACATCTACACAGCAAGCCATTATTTCAAAATAATGGTGAGCTGGAGGAGTTCTTACTTAGACTCCTGTAACCCTCATTTCCTGAGGAGTAACAGCGCCAAAAGCCAAAATAAGCTATTTCGACTTCAGCTATGCAATTGACGTAGCTGAAGTTGCATAGCTTAATTCGACTTTTGCCCTGTTGTGTAGACATGCCCTCAGTGAGTAGCAGCAGAAAGTCACTAGTTATCTTGAACTATAGATTTTCTTCTCTTGTACTCTAGATCTGATCCCTGTGCATTAATTCCACTTTATTATCTGAATTAGTTAAGATGCCAAAATATAACTGTATATCAACAGAAATGCAAACAAAGAAATGAAATGGAATCCAAGGGCCTTCAAAGCAGTATAAGTGAGACACTTGTTGTACACCTGTACAATGATTGTTGTAAACAGTAGAAATATAACCCCCCCATCGCCACTCTCCCCAAAACCCCAGCAACTTTAGCTTAAAAGCTTGCAGGAAGGATGTTTTCCTACTTGTATCAGAACACTTATCTTGGCACCTTCTGAGACATGCTGTATTGTAGGATCCTTCTTGAAGCTATTTTAAGCGATAGGACTGACCAACAGCAAAAGCTTAGTGTTGACTTGCTGTTAAGCACAAATAGATCCTTTTGGATGATACTCTATAGCAGCGGTGGGGAATGTCTGGCACACTGGCTGCATGCAGTTTCATCAAGGTTAGACGGTGCTAGGCCTGCGGACGATTTGTTTTCCTGAACGTCCCCCGGCATGGAGCCCTGCAGCTCCCAGTGTTCGCGTTGTGCTGTTCCTGAACAATGAGAGCTGTATGAGGTGACGCAGACTGAGCCACTGTTTCCTGTAAATCCCCACCCCTGCTCTAGCTTATAATTTTCTGGATAATTATGTGAAACAATCTTTCTGTTGACAGTGTTGGATTCAGTTTTCTGCAGGTGTTCAAAGTATAAAAAGAACTTTTTTTGCAAATTAAGTTTTGATGTTAGCTCCCATTGGTGCCCCCATACTGTTGCCACATCACTGTCAAATTGCTAGGTGTTTGCTGTTGAGTAGGTTTTCAGTGATCATGCCTCTGTCTTCTGTTTTTTGTTTTTATCTTTTCCTCAGGGGAAATCGCTCACGTCAAAGAGGTTAACCAGTCTAGTGCAGTCCTACTAAAAGGATCATCCTTGTAGCATGGAAGCAGACTCAAATCATTATACATATTTGTAGCTCACTGATTGCCTGAATCAGAGGAGAGTAGAACAAGATGTTGCATGAGCAAGGACCTGACTTGTTTTCTTTTGTGTATACTAAGGCATTACAGACTCCGAGGGACTCTAACCTTTCGATGCCTCCATTTCGAAAATTGTCTGCTCACTTCCTCCTTCATATCAAGCTGGATCTGTGTCATTTTATTTTCTGCAAGCTCAAGTACAGTGAAAAAAAAAAGCTTCTGCTAGACACAGTTTATTAAAAAATCCTGTCCATTCACAAACTGGAAGAAATGTAAAAAATGCATATACTAATAAATATACATATGACATCACATTTATTGCACAAAAATTAGCACAGCAGGTTCCATTTCACTGATGTATTCACACTGAGAAAGAAAGCCTGTGTCTTTGTCTGTTGTCTGTATATTCTCTGTTAATGTTTCTTGCATTTATTTTTATACCATATTTAAAAAAGAACACCTTTTAATCCAAATGTATTAAACTTGATCCTTTCTCTGTAAATTTGTGTATGTTTATATTGTTGTTTTATCTTTCATTAAAAGATGCAGAATCTCTTTCCTTTGGTAAATTTGGGATTTCAATGCTGAGCCAGAAAACAGAAAGCCATCTTGAGAAGTTGTTTAAAGTCGAGTTCTTAGTGCATTTTCAAATGGCATCCTGCAGTTCTGTGTTTGCTGACTCACTCTCTCAAGATCAAACATACCTATTTTACAAGTAAAAAAAAAATGTTATTTCTAACTACCAGCGAAGCCAAGTCAGCTTGTGGTCTGGATCAAATGAGGTTCTTTTCATCTTACTCATCATCACTAGTAAATAAATGAAATTTCTGCTGGCTAGACTAAACCTGTAATCCAATTCTGCATACCTTTTGTTTATAAATTATATCCCCAGTGACACCTATGTGACCAGATTGAAATTTAGCAAATATTTCTGCTGAAGTGTAAGAAGAAATAGAATTCAGCTTATTCTTTTAGTTCTGTTAAAAAGCAGTAAAACTTCAATCACTTCTTGAAGTGAGCAAATCGATTGAATGCAGAGAGAGAAGCTATTCTGCAAGAAAATGTTATTTTCTCCACAATCATTTTTGATATTATAATTTCATTTTAAACTAAAAAGATGGTGCTACAGTTTGAGATACTGTCGTCAGAGAGCAGCTCCTTGACTGGAAATGTGTAATGTCTTTGAATTCAGGTTCAAGGGCTTCATTCTGCTCAACCATTATGCAAATAGTTCTTTCTTTGGAATTACCCATATGAGTAAGGATTTAGTGGTCATGATTGGAAAAATCAGGTCCTCAATTTGCAAAAATGCCCAGCAAGTTTGGCACATTTTGAAGCCATGTTGAGAAGGGAGATGAAAGATATTGCTTTGGCCTAAAAAAATAGCACTTTTAACTGGTACAGAGCCCATGAAAATAGTAGATCCAACCACTACCTGAGAGTGATCCTGTGCAAGACTTTTTTGAGAAAGTGGTGATTAGTATGTATAATTCTTTCATCCAGGACTCACAGCCTCACTATAGGATAGTATAAACATATTGGAATGTTATATCCACACTTGGAATGAAACAAGACAGGTGTTATTGTTAGGAAGAAATATTGAATCCCAGTTTGGGGCAATCTGCAAAAGGAAGTTAATTGCATAAGATTAGCTACCTAAACTGTACCTTAGCCTGCTCTTTAAGCCTTCATCTAGTATAGTATTTAAGTGCATGCTTAACTTAAACCACAAGTCATGCCATTGATTTCACTTTAAGTGCTCCGGTGCATTGCTGCTTTGGGGCTGTAATGAATTCAAGTAGTAAGGACTTCACTCTTATACCCTTAGAGTTCATTTTTTTGGATTCCTAGCTTGAGTCACCTTAAGGGGCAAAGTTTTCAGAGGGTGGTTTCAAGTTAGACACACAAAATCATTAGTCACTTTTGAAAACTTAGGCAACCAGGTTTGTCAAGTCAATCCTATTGATGAGTGGTGTGATATTTAGCTGCTGCTTTGTTGATACACAACTGTACAATGGGATATAACATTCCTTGTCATCATACTGTAAATTTACTTGCGCAAGAGCAGGAGGGCAGTGTGGATGCTCTGTGGATTCTTGCGCAAGGACGGCTGTACTTGCGCAAGAAGCCGCAAGTGTAGACATAGCCCAAAGGTTAAGATGGTGTTGCTTTCCCCCAGTAATTTGTTGTTTTTAGATGATGCTCCACCTAGGCTAATTTTCAGCAAGAGTTGCAGTGAGGATGTTAGAATATCAGATAAACGTGTTTTATCCTTTATATACTCTAATGCTTGAGCAGGAAAACCTGAAAATCTCACATGACTGCCTGATCTTACAGGATATCTATGCCTATCAATTCAATCATGAGGTTTGAGTAATTTAGATGGTATTGAAATAAATATCAAGACGTTTGAGTGGCTATTCAAAATGAAACCCAGAGTCTCAAACTTTTAAGATTTACTTTTCCTTAATCACAGGCCAATTTATCAGACACAGAGTTTGAAAGCTCTGAAGCATGTGTGCTGGGCAATTTGCAGAAACAATGTGCACTTTTTCAGTTCTCAGAGCCATGTAAAGATGTATATTTCTTTCTCCTGCTGTCATTCTTCCAGAAATTGAATCTAATGGTGCGTCGCCTGTATCACATTAAAAGTTAGCTAAGTAGATATTTTTTGGATCTACATGTCAAATTCATACAGTAGCTATTCCAGATGTAGCATTGTCACAAAATCATGAATTCTTCAAATCACTTTGGAACAGACTGGCTAATCACAATATTTGGCAAGTATATTGAAATGCAGCCCTTTTGTATGTATTCCTGCTCTTGTATTATTGATAGATATTGAACCTCTCAGGACAATGATTGTGTCTTTTCTGTGTTTGTACAGCACCTAACACAATAAACCCCTACTTTAATACCAATATTTCCTACCAGTAATAAGGACTAACTTCCAAAGTGTGGGAGTTGAAGATTTAAATTCAGCCATAGGCAAATGATGCAACTGTCTTAACTTCAATAGGCTTATACCATAGGTGAATTTGGATCAGTAACAGTCCAGGAAAATATAATTATATGTAGCCACAAACTTTCCATCACTGCCCCATAGCCATGCTTCAACAGGTCACAAATCCTCTCCAGAGAGGAAACGGGACTTAATCTTGAGTCTGTTCATGCTTGACCTCACTGTTGTGATTACCAAATCAGGTATCAGGCCAGTTGGAGTGCTGATTTAGGTGATGAGTAAACAAGGCCACTGGGACGCAGAGTGTGATCACAGGCCTGAAAAAAAAATCCAAAAAACAGTCCACACAGAAACCCCATTTTGATCTGATCTGCCTTTCATATTTCTCCCAAGTCCTGGGGAAAGGCAGCCATTCAGTGCCTCCTGCCTCAAAACAAGTAGCATATAGTGTTCCTACTTTCTTCTCTTACTCCTGTGTGACCAAGGAAGTGGAAATCGTCCTAGACTGCTCTAGACTGATCTGAGAGTTGGCAGTGGATGGTCTGTTCGGCTAAGTCTATATTATAGCCATTTTTTGGAAAAAGCTACGCAAATTGTGGAGTGCAATTTGCGTAGCTTTTTCCAAATGCTTTTCCGGAAGAGGCTTTTCTGCCATTTGGCCCTGTCTAGATGGGGCCAAATGGCGGAAAAGCCTCCTCTTTCAGAAGAGTCCTAATTCCTCGTAGAACGAGGGCTCCCTGAAAGAGCATGTTTGCTCTTCTGCAAAAAAAAGCGGAAGAGCAAACGCATTCCCTGGATGTGGCGGAGTTTTTCCGGGATACCTCTGGTATCCCCAAAAAACCTGCCAGTCTAAACTTACCCTTTTAGTGGTGCTCAACCTGCAGGCCACATGTGGACTATCAGAGCAATCTGATTGTGGGTTGTGAGACATTTTGCTGATATTAACTGTCTGCTGTACATGTACCCCTGGTTGAGAACCGCTGCTTAGTCCTATGAAAAACTGCTTGTCCTGCTCCCCGCCTTGCCTCACAAGGAGGTGAAAATCACAGAATCCTTCTCCTGCTGTCACTGCCTTACTGGGAAGGCTGAGTCTGCTGCTTTGCAGGCCCCACAGGTGGCAGTTAGGCATTCACCAGCATCTCCATGGGAACAGTGAGGGAAATGTCTGCCAACGCTTTGCTCAAGATAAAGACAGTTGCCAGGAAACATCCCAAATGCTGTAGGCCAAAGAGGGTGGCAGTGGAGGAGGAGGAGGAAAAGGGGAACAGGGTAAAATGTTTAGGTGCTGGTGGGAGACAAGTAGCAGGTATGATCCTAAAGTGAACTGATTGACGAAGAATGTGCAGGTGGTGAACGAGAACTGATTGCAGTAGCCAAAAGCTGAACTGACAGGGGAGGGTGGTTGGGAAACTGATGAATCAGCAGAGTAAAGAAGCCAGATTTTAATTGATCAAGTGCAGTATTACTAACCCTACCCATTCAGAGATCTTCATCAGAACCTCCTCCTGCCCCAATCATGATTGCCTTAGAAATTATGATTGATTATTGCTTTTTTTAAAAAAAAAATTGTCAGAGAAATATCCAAAAAGAGTGGAGCTACTACTAACCCCAGGTGACAGCTCCTTTCAAACTACACACTTAATATTGTTGGAAATGAGTTACAAATATGACCTGTGAAGAAGAAAAATCCAATAAGCAAGCAAGAATTATTATAGGTAATGTATAACAGTTACTACAGTGGTGGATGCTACAAACATACATATGTGAAAAGCTGTGTTAATAATTAAAAAGTGAGCAATAAAAGGACAAGCTGTTTCACAATTAAAGCAAAAGGGGGATCTAGCAGTTCGGGCAGTGGTGGGGAAAAGCTGGTTGCATGTGGTTCTTCAGGGTTAGCTGCTGGAAGATCACTAAATGGTTTGTTTACCTGAGCATCCACGGACATGGAGCCCCACAGCTCCTAGTGGCTACAGTTCACTGTTCCCAGCCAGTGGGAGCTCCAGGAAGGCTCACCAGATTCCCCACCCCTGGGTTGGGGATAATTATGCATCTATTTTCAACTCCAATCCTTAATTTTTGATCGGCAAACATCTTAACGCCTGCTTCTATTTTTCTATCGGCAAAATGATTATATTTGTACTTTATTTCCTCATAGGGATGTTGTGCAGATGAATAAATATTTGTGAAATGGATCCATTTAAGTGTAAAAAACAAAACAAACAGCTTTTGTTCACATATAAAACATGGATATCATA